TAAATTAAAAAATTGAAGTTTTAAAAAGTAAAAAATATATTTTTTATTACTATTATTCAATAAATAATTACCGGTTCAAAGCCAAAATTCATCATCCAAGTCTGCATAAAATATCCGATCATGCAGAGTTGGGTTTATTATTAGTTGATCATAGGGATTCTCCCCAGTTTCCAACCTCTTGAGAATTTTGTATACATATTTTAATGAGTACCATTTTCTACGACATTGAGAGGGAGAAGTGGTGAACCCTCTATTAAAAAACAATTGGTTGGATATGGTTCTCTATATTCTTTTATGGTGATTATTAGAAATGAACTCAAAATAATCATGATTCTCGCGTCGAAGTCGAATTAATTCTCTTGCAGCTTCAATAGTCCATTTAAATGAAGCAACAACAGGAGCAATCAAAGCCATAATGATAGAAATAAAAAAAAGGAGGAAGACGAAATAGGCGGGATCGAGAAATAAAAAAAAATAAAAAAATGAAATAAACAGGAATCGAGAAATAAAAAAAAAATAAAAAACGAAATAAACGAGATCAAGAAATAAAAAAAAGAAAAGAAAAAAACGAAATTAATGGGATCGAGAAATAAAAAAAAAAAGAACGAAATAAACGAGATCGAGAAATAAAAAAAAAGAAAAGAACGAAATAAACAAGATCGAGAAATAAAAAAAAAGAAAAGAAAAAAACGAAATTAACAGAATCGAGAAATAAAAAAAAAAGAAAAGAACGAAATAAACGAGATTGAGAAATAAAAAAGAAAAGAATGAAATAAACGAGATTGAGAAATAAAAAAAAAAGAACGAAATAAACGAGATTGAGAAATAAAAAAAAAGAAAAGAAAAAAATGAAATTAACGGGATCGAAAATAAAAAAAAAGAATGAATGAAATAAACGAGATCGAGAAATAAAAAAAAAAATAAAAAAATGAAATAAATGCCGATTGAGAAATTGACGTGAAATAAAAAGTCTGAAAAAAAAAAAAAAACAAATTAGAAATGGCGTGGAATAAAAAAAAATGAAATATTAAAAAAGAAAAAAAAAAACGAATTAGAAATGGCGATCGAAAATATAGGTGGAATAAAAAAATCAAGATAAAAGAGAAAGAGAGAGAGAGAGAGAGAAAGAAAAAACGAATTTAAAAAAAAGAAAAATGAATTAAAAGAATTGAAATAACAGACAAGAGAAGTTTTATATTTGTGATTTTATTATGATATATT